CGCGTAGCTGCTCAGCGCCTGCGCGTAGAAAGCCTTCCCAATCGAGTGCAAGTAGCCGTTCTCCCTCCTGGAGCTCCGGTAAGTCAATGACGTCTTCAGCTTCCTCCTCCTGGTGCATGTGGTCCTGGAGCTTGGTGCATAGCTCCGGACAACGATCAAATACCACCGTGGAGGTTTCCCAATCGATACTAGGGTTGTGGAAGCGTAGCCATTCGTGCCCGATGAATAGCGGCGAGGAGCCTAACTTGGCCACTGCAAGAGCGATCTGCTCCCGATGATCTCCGATGGTCATAGCGATGTCGACAAACTCTGTTATGCTGCCATTGGCGTTGGCACTACCGTCCGCATTGTAGACCGGAATAGGCAGAGCCGTTTTCCGCGTGCGAATGCCGTTTTGCCGAACGAAGTCCTCATCAATACAGGAGCCAGTACAGCCGCTGTCGAGTAAGGCGTTAACCGGGATTTGACGACGCGGGAACTCCATGGTGTGGAGGACGGTGGGCAAGGTGGTCTGTTGGCGTTGACCAGAGGAGCGAACGTAATGCATGGGCGAACGTAATTCGCAGAGCGCTTGCACAACGGTGTCGTCGTCCATACCATTGAGTGTGGCCAGCATCTCATGCGTTGCCTCACGATGGCGCCGGTTGTGCGTCCAGTTGCGTAGGATGGCAATTGCAGATTCTGGCTTGTCTTCTTGCAGACGGCGAGCAGCCCATAGAGCGGAGCGTAGTGCGGCGTAGCGATTGCCTCCCCTCCGAGTATGAGGGAGGTCTTGATCTATTGACTCGGACATGCATTGGGATTCACATGGGATAAATTCAGCAACATCATTATAATTATTATTATGTGCGGGTGTGAATAAAGCGGCGGCCGGAGTATTGTCCAGCTCTGGTACATGAGGAGCAGGGGTGACGCCCTGCAATCTGAGTAACAGAGACGAGGTAGATGCGTGCAAGATGAATAAGTCAAATAGTCCATGGAACCGAGATGGGGCTTGAAGTACTGTGTTCACGATGAGCCACTGGCAGAACCCTGCTGCGATGCCTGACCCAGAGGAGTAGCCGGTGATCCCACTCTGCTCTGCAGCAAACATGCTAGCTCCGCTTGCTCAGCCAGAGACAGCGAGGCGGCGAAGTCGTCCACATTGGCAAAGGTCGTGGCATGTGCCCGATAGCCAGGAGGGAAGGGGATCATGTGATCCCGGCTATACTTCTGCTGAATGGTCTCGACTGGCATGTTGCAGTTATGTGCCAGGTGGTTGCCACCACAGCGGTAGCACGCCGTGGCCGTATTTGCCATGTCAATGTCTATCGGGACCACTCTGGTGTTAGCTACTGGTGCTGGTGCATGCGGCTGCTAGGCCGGGGCACCCCAAGGGCGCCAGTTGCCGTTGCGCGGCTGCCCCTGGTTTGTGTTGCGCGATAGCTACTGTTGCTGCCAGGCACCTGTGGACCGGCCAGTGTTGTTGTTCACGCCGGTGGACTGGTTGCGCAAGGACGAGTTGCCTGTGGTTGACTGCAACGAGGGCTGGTCTGGATGATCTTTGTGCCACTGCCTGTCGAATAGCACAGTGTCCTTATACCAGCCCTGTAGCGTGTCTGAGCGATGCTTCCCCTGGCCGTTGACCTTGTCGTAGATGAAAGGCTTCAAGCTCTTCTTGTAGAGCTCAATGAGCGCAGTGTCGTTGAAGCCCGTATGGCCGTCCCAGTCCTTAAACTGACACGTGTGCACCGCCGCAGACTGCGCACCTTGTTGCATGGACTGGATTTTATTGAATGCGCAGCCTAAGAAGGAAGCGCAACACTCTCAAGCACACAGAGAATAAGCAAGTGGGATAGCAAAATGGTGTAGGGGGTTTTGGAGAACGGCGAGTACGATGGTGTACAGTACGAGTCCGTCCGAGAAGCAGGAGACAGCGAATCACGAACACAAAACGAAGGAAATTCAAACAGAGAGCCAGAATTCAACAAAGGGTGAGCTCAGGAGGTCGCTCGAAGTCCACAACCATCGGTTGAGACAGCGCTAGCTTCGAGTGAGGGAAATACCGCTCATCAAAGACCACCGTCTCGCAGATAATTGCCTTCTTGCCGTCCCAAATCCGCCAGCCCTTGTACCCCTCAGGGTAGCCGATAAACACGCCCTTGATTATGTGCCACTGCAGCTTGTCACGCTTGTCCCTCTGGACGTGCGCGTAGGCCCTGCAGCCCCACACCCTAAGGTGCGAGTAGTCCGGCTTCTGCTTGTGCCANCGCCAGCCCTTGTACCCCTCAGGGTAGCCGATAAACACGCCCTTGATTATATGCCACTGCAGCTTGTCACGCTTGTCCCTCTGGACGTGCGCGTAGGCCCTGCAGCCCCACACCCTAAGGTGCGAATAGTCCGGCTTCTGCTTATGCCAAACCTCGTAACGGGTGGCCTTCAGGCTCTGCCCGCGTGTCGACCTTGACAGCAGACGGTTCTAGACATCTACAAAAGCAAGTAGCGCCTCACCCCAAAACGAATGCGGCATGCCGGACTCGGCGAGGACAGCAGCAGTGCCCTCAACCACGGTGCGGTTTGCGCGTTCAGCCACGCCGTTCTGCTCTGGACGATTGCGAGTCGTCCGACGGAAAGTGATGCCCGTCTGAGCGTACATGGCGTCCCACTTCTTCCCAGTAAACTCGCCGCCTTTGTCCTCCTGGAAAACGCGAATGCGCTCTCCAGTCACCAGTTCTGCCCACGCCTTGTAGGCCATACAGGCTTCAAAGTGTTGAATTCTGGCTCTCTGTCCTAATCTCTTTTGATTGGTGTCTGTAACTCGCTGTCTCTTGGTTCTTGGACGGACTTGTATTGTATACCATTGTACTCACCATCCTCCAAACCCCCTACACCTTTTTGACCGGATTTATGCGCTTACTCTACGGCTCCTGACTCCCTCCTGCCTCATTGGGACTGATTAGATCACTGTTCCGATCTCGGCTCTTTCCGGTCCGCTTCCCCTCGCTCTGGCTCAGTCATTTCTGGTTCCTCACGTGCTTGCAACACACCTGCACACACAGAGCAAGCTCTCTTCTCTCTTTCACCCATTTCCGTGATCTCAATATTTCCAGAGGCCACAGTGTTTAGCACCTTGTCTCTGGCATTCAGGAATTCCTCATATTTTTGTTTTTCTGTCGTCTAATGCATGTACGATCGTCAGAATAGTACGGACAGGAAAGAACCACTACAATGAACCTTGCCTGTGTCAATGGATGAGGGCTATTACTTGCGCTGTGAGTAATTTATCTAGACAAGAGGACAGGTGAACACACTAATAGAAAGACTAACAACTCTATGCTAGCCAGTGGTGGGTGATGCATGGCACGGAAAGCGGGCCTTGTTGGAGAGCGCCCTCTGCCCCATGTCAGCAGGAATTGCCAACACATGGCATCTGTATAGCTTTCAACTTGAAGGGAACATGCTCCATCCAACATCTTCATGCCTTCGTATAAATTACAGATCATGGAATACTGCTAGCTCACGTCCAAACCAAGCAACACCTGCCAATGCCACCTTGGAGAGGTCCGACAAGTGCATGAGTGCGGTGACAAGTGTGCGGCACTTCTCGTTGCCAGACTGTTGAATGTGCAGCCTAAGAACGAAGCGCAACACACTGCAGTACACAGAGAACAAGCAAGTAAGATAGCAAAATAAACTAAGTACATACCTGCAGAACACAGAGAATAAGCAAGTGGGGGAAAAGAGAGAAGGGAGCTTGCTCTATGTGTGTAGGTGCATCACAGGCATATAAGGAACCGGAAATAACCGAGCCACAGCGAGGGGAACCGGACTGGAAAGAGCCGAGATGGGAACAGTGATCTAATCAGTCTCAATGAGGCAGGAGGGAGTCAGGAGCCGTAGAGTAAGCGCATGAATCCGGGAAAAATGGTGTAGGGGGTTTTAGAGGATGGCAAGTACACTGGTGTACAGTACGAGTCTGTCCAAGTAGCAGCAGACAGCAAATCATAGACACGAAATGAAAGAAGTTCAAACAGAGAGCCAGAATTCAACAATCTGTTTCCTTTCCATGTTGGCTCACCAAACAATCAGTCTTAGATTGATAAATTTGAGGGATACAAGTTATTTCTCTGATCAGATTCAGATGTGCACACCGCATAGGGAGGTGGTGACATTAACGGTGTCCCTGGGGCCTTTTAAGTTATTGGATCGTCCAATACTCCTGCCGAGTAGATACGTAGCGGGTGCCTGCCAATGACATTCCTTGCCTCCGTTTATTTGCTAATACATGTCCTCGGATTGTGCCATTTCTTATTCTCCTGTGTTCTTTTTGCTACCCATACCTACTCATACGTCGGCGCAGCCGCACTTCTGTTCCTGTCCGTTCTTTGTTCTTCTCGCAATTGCTTGATGATCGGCTTTCATTTATGCTTGTCAATTCCTGCATGTGCCTTGGTGTGCTCAATCAAATCTTCCTTGTGCTCAGGACTTCTACTCTGATCACGCTGCGCAAATACTACATTATAGTGCCCTGTAGTACTTGCTCGTGCCAGCCTGTCTAGACCTGCACATTGTGCCTGTTCTACATGACTCTTAACTGTGACTCTGTCTGCCACTTGACCTTGACCACTTGGTCTGCCATAGCCCTTGTGTGTTCTTGAGACTTCTCTGTTATTCTCGGATTCACTTCCCAGCTGTTCCTCCTTGTGTGTTCTCCGCACCAGTCTCAGTGCTGTCGGCTGATGGTACATTTTGGACCGAAGTGAGCAAAGGCCGAGAACATAGACAGCACAGCGAAGAACAGATGAGAAGAAGCACATATTCCTTGCTGCGCCCAGCTATCCGCCGGAATTCTTATTTCTTCTTAACAAAGTCTCGTAGGAGATCATGATTGACGGACTCTCAGTTACCCCGTGCAAAGCACAGATATCGATTAGTCAACAAGGACATTGATAATAATATAAGTAAGATTCGATACTACAGGTCTACATCTTGAAGAGATCACAGGAGAGTGGATAAGGCGGGGCTACTAGCAAAGGCACAGAACCGAACAGACTTGGCATTTTAGCAAGACTTCCATCACAGCATCTGCCTGTTTCTCAGAAGACTGCATGAGGCACTGCTCCACTTTCTCCGTAACAGAGAGAACATCCTCGTATTCTGCAGAGATGCATGCCAGTTCCTCCTTATCATCTACAACCTCAATCTGCTTTTCCATGTGGCCTTTTATTTCCTGGCTCTCTGACTCAAGTGCGTATGCCATGTCACGGAGAAGCCTGGCCAATTTCTTGCGGCTCTGGACAAACTGTTCAAAGATGGGCAAAGCTTTCATCTGATCACCATCTGAGTAAAGAGCTCTTGGACTGCACAACAGCATACTCACCGAGTTCAGAGCTGTTACATTGCCCCGGTGGATGGTAGTCTCAAGCCCAGCATCATCATAGTCTTTATTGTTGTCACCATAAGCACTTCCATCATTGTCATCGACCTGGGCACCACCTTCTTCACTATCGACATCCTCCACATTGATGTCAGTCATGAGTGGTGTGTTGGACATATGTTTCTGTGTGTGTTCTAGTGACCTGACGGTTAAGTGCCTATAGTTCCGCCCCTTTCTCATGCAGAACTCGTCGAGGTTGTAATGTGCAGTCTTGTCGCTGCTTCTATTTAGCACATGTCATAGAGGTAAGGAGCAATGCGTAGTGCACCAGTGGTAGCAAATGTAACTAGTCCCTTTATGACTGCCCGTCTTGATAATGGATGTGCTGACCAGGAGCTTCCGGTATCTAATCTCGATAAGCAACTAATTGGCAGGAGTTCTAAAGCTCTTGCTCTATCCATAGTCACTTGCAATGATAAAAATCGTGTTCGCGCTAGCATGTGAGAACAATGGGGTGGCTCACATATTTCTCAGTGCTATATGATTTCTGTCCAGATGTGAGGGACATTGAAAAGCATAGACAATGTCGTTTGACATTTGGATAGCGAGGGGGTGTGATCAGCTTTAGACATTGAGGGGATGGTGTCTCGAGAGAGGGCCTTGTGTTTGAGGATAACTAGGGCCACGGTATTTTATACGCTAGATTCTCGTGCAGCCATACTACTGGGCAGATGTTAAGTACACGCAAGGTAATTTACAAATAGAATGTGTCGACTCACCCATAATAGATCTGTGCCAAGTACAAATAGGAGTAGCTCCTGCCTCATTGACCTAAAAAGCAGAAGTGTTTCTGCTTCAGCTAAAAGCTCATCACAGACAACAATGGGGTAGCCTTCAAAGACAGGAAAGCTTTTGTTATTCAGGGACAAGCACTATGCAAAAGAAGTTCAACTATCGCGGACTTATGCAATGGGCTGCATACTGTTAGTGAGTGTCAGCCAGTGGTATTGCCGGTGGGTTCCTTGACTGATAGCCCACGAGGCCTCTAGCTCTTCGCAGGTCCATCCTCTGTAGTAGTCTTAACACAAGAAGCAGCCCAACCTGGACCAGCTAACTAAAGAGAAGTGCCCTCCACGTGTCCACAGTCACCTACCTACAAGCAAGCTAGGATGTTTCAGATTGATGACGTAAGCCATGACATGCGGAAGAGGTCCTTCAGCAAGGCATTGCTTACTTAGTCAGGGTGGTGATTAGTCTGACCAGCCCGACCGGCGAATGATGGTTTGGACTGGGGATGAGTATAGTAAAACGGCGCCCAACGGGGCCACAATTCATCGCTGGTCAAGAAACCCGGGAGACTTGCGAGATGGTAGCAGGGAGGCAGGGCAGGACGGAGACCTTGAGGACACTCCTCGCAGCAGGAACACTTGTGCAGTGTGCAACCACAGCTCAAGCAGCACAACCGGCGTCTTCTGGCAAGAATAAGTGGTCCAAGGGCAGTAATACTGCCTCTGGTGGCGCATCCGGCTCTGGCAATGGTTCTGGCAACGTCTGCACCTGGTGCAAGGCCAACGGCCGCTCTGGCAAGGGCCACACCGTCGCCAACTGCTTCAACAAGCGTGTCTCTGACCTAGAGGCCGCCGTCCGCGCTCGTCCTGCTGCTGGCAATGCTGCCGATGCTTCTGGTGCAGCCTTCTTTGGTGCTGCTGGCAAGTTTGCCAGTACCGCTACCGCTGCAAGCTCTCTCTCCGCCTCCCCCGCTCACACAGACCTCTTTGATGACTCCTGGAATGTAGATACGAGTGCCACGGCTCATATGACACCTCATTGTCATTGGTTTGCCACCTACAGGCCATTCCGCATGCCTATATGCCTTGCAAATGGCGTCATCGTCTATTCTGCTGGTCTGGGGTCTGTTGTGTTTGAGCCGGAGGGAGAGGGCGTCGATGGGCAACCTATAGAGCTTACTCGCGTCTTGCATGTACCTCAGTTATGTGCCAATCTGCTGTCTGTGCTCTATCTATCGCTGCACTGTTAAATGCGCAGCCTAGCAATGAAGTGCAACACTCTGCAGTACACAGTGTATAAGCAAGTAAGATAGGAGGAACTAAGTACATACCTGTAGCACACAGAGAATAAGCAAGTGGGGTAAAAGAGAGAAGGGAGCTTGCTCTGTGTGTGCAGGCAAGTGAGGCATGTGAAACTGTACAGTAGCATGTGAGGAACCAGAATTAACCAAGCCAGAGCAAGGGGAAGCAGACCGGAAAGGGCCGGGATGGCAACAGTGATCTCATCAGTCCCAATGATGCAGGAGGGAGTCAGGAGCTGTACAGTAAGTGCATAAATCCAGGAAAAATAGAGGAGGCGGTTTTGGAGGACGGCGAGTATGATGGTGTACAATCCGAGTCCGTCCGAGAAGCAGGAGACAGCACTACGTACTGCAGAATTGGGTTGCCTTTTATGGCGTGGCTTTCCACTTGTTGATGCAATAGTCAAACAGCTGACTGAGTCGATCAGACTCTTATGATTCTAATATCCATGAATATTTGCAAACAACAACATCATCACCATCTGGTGCGCAGATCCACTCAAGCAAGCTGTCTAACGTTCATTGCCATAATGGGCCCTCTTTGTTCACTCTACCCGCTCTTTCCATCAATCCTGGTATAGTGCACAGCCCATCTGCCAAAGAGCATAGTCATGCACGCATACAGCAAATATCGCAAGGAAGCGGGAAGCCGCCGTTGAAGCCCGCCAGAGCGTACATCGAGTCCGCATCAAATTTACCTTCATGGTTGGGGAAGGCACATAGGAGAGGGTAAGACGGTGCAAACATTGTGGCATATATTAGTCACATGTGGGTGTTGCTAGGGGTCGGCCCTAGGACATGATGATGAGCCCCTTGGAGCCGCCACTAGGTGGGCAAGAGCGACGAGCAAGAGTAGAAAGTAATGCAAATTGACAAGCTAGTGTAAAGGTACATGCAAGACAAACTACTTAAGTGGACATCAAAAGAAGAATGATAGTGTTGGGCAAGAACTGCGAGGAAGCGGGTACTTTGTGTGTGCATTTGAAGAGGGTGTCCAGCTAGACGAGTGGTGGAGATGGTGGGAGCTGGGCAACACTCGGTGATGGCTTGCCCAGGTCATAGCATGGGATGTTACTGCCATCGTCAGAGTTGTCCGTGTTGAATGCGCAGCCTAGGAACGAAGCGCAACACTCTGCAGCACACAGAGAAT